TTTTGATCTTGGTACTAGCAGGTCTATAAGTACATGATTTTATTTTATAAATGATAATAATATAATAGCTGCTTCTTTGCTTGACAGAGCACTCTTTCTTGTGACTACTTCTTGTTGTCCTATTGAATCATACAACATGAGAATAAGGTGGGTGAATTATATAAAATGCATGTCGCTACGTTTATGACTTACCTGTCTGGTTTTATCATCAACCATGGCTCATAGTCGTTTTGTAAGTGTATCTAAGAAAGCCTGACTCCTGAAGAAACTGTCAGAAAAGAGAAAAGTCGAGCAACGCTTGGAGTGTTGTTCATGAAAATAAAAACGGTAGTGCCCAGACCCAACGGACCATGAATGGAACAACCACAATAAAAACGGAAACGGCGCTACCGTTTAATCGCCGTTCAACGTAAACGGAACGCGAAGTTTTTATTGTCTTCTACTGTATGTTGTACAATGTAGATAGTTTGGAGTGCTTAATTTGGGTGAATTGCTGTGTGCCCATTGATCTCTTATTTAATCATAAAATCTTCTCTCTTTTCTCTCTCTTCCTTTCCTCCATAAAGGAATGACACACGAGTGATATGCATTGTGTTGAATTTGGTGACTGTTATGTTGGAGTGTGGCGTGAAGAGACTTGGGGACATTAAATCACTGAGAGTTCTCATGCAAGACGGACTCTGCCATCACTTACTTACTGTAAATGAGCAACTTTACGAAGTACGTATTTCAGTTTGTGTTAAATTGTATTTTGTTAGTTGCTTCAGAACGAATCTGTTGATGTTTTTGGTCGCTCTTTGACAAAGTGCTTTCTTCAAATTGTCATCATCTCAGACTACAGCTGGAGGTAAAGAAAGAAACACATACATGTATGTGGATCATTAAATACTTCTCTCTCTCTCTCTCTCTCTCTCTCTCTCCCTCTCCCTCTCTCAGTGGTTCCTTAATAAGCTAATGCACACAATACAATTAGATCAGTCAAGACTTCAAGCAGGCAGACTAGAGCTAACATTAGAATGTCTCAATTCAAGTAAGAAATAGTACATTTATGTACACGAGATTCGTGACAGTTTAATAAATTTTTGTCTCTCTTTTCTTTAGTTTTGTCACATTCATAATTTTGTATCAGAGTTATATGTTAATTATGATTGCAGTACCTACTGTACTAACGTGTGCGAGAGACTGAGCAAACTACTTGCTAAGGTATGTCAGTCATCAGCTGTTATTAAGCTTAGCCAATTACCCTGTACTATAGTACGGGGTATTTTGCTAAATATTATTACAGCAAGCATTCCCCAGCTCTTATCACACGATATCATCAACCAACATAATTAGCAATGGAAACACTACTGGCAATGATACTGGCATTAGAATCAACCAACACCACCACTACTGATAGTGATGATACCAATGATGGTGATACTAATAGAATGTGTACTAAGATTAATGGAGGGAAAGTTGCAGGTGACTGTAATAAAGGAGTAAGTGTGAATTCATCTGCTGGGATCATATTCTCATCAGATAAGCAGCAGCAACCAGATATCAGTCTGAATGGAGCAGAGAAGGTGGGTGGAGCTATATCAGAACGTAATATGGCGTTTTGGCCTTTCGTCACTTTATTTAACCATTTTTAAGGGTAATTTGAATCATAATTGATCTAATTTTACATTTTTTGTGTTCCATTTGTAGGTACCATCAAGGATCTCAAGTCCTTTTTTGTAGGCGGAGTTGACAAATTGTCATCAAATTTACATGAATGAACATTAAAGGTAAAGCACACATGATATTGAGATAATTTTACAAATATTTAAT